TAATAATTAATCGATTCCAGAACTGTCTCTGTTCAGATTAGGTACCTATTGAACAGGAAAGGTAAGCTAGTCACTTTTTCTAGCATAATATAATTTGTAGGTATTTGATGATGAGATACCTACTTACTTATTCTTACTTTTATCATTCTTCATAGTTCCTACTCAACCAGAAATGTAATTACCTACTATACTTAAATATTATAAGAAAATGTGGTATTGTATTGTTTATTTCAGTTTATCTGATTTGTTAAGAGCGTAGCCGAGTCGCATTTTTCCATATAAATGTATTCCCAAATTTACTTTCTGAATACTATGTATAGAGCTAAAGTTTATTTTAAGAAGTTAATAATCTTTTTATAAGCTTTTAATTTTTACTAAATTTATAAATTGATAAAATATTCAATCATAAAATGCTTTTCATTTCATAAATTTAGATCAAGTGCTGCTTGTTCGAAAATATTAACTAAAAGTAAAAGTGACAACCCTGGGGATCAACGCAAGAGTAGGCTAATAACTCGGCGGGCGGCCTTAGATAACCTACTGTGTTCTTTATACTATGTCTTGAGCCTCGCTGTGCACGGCGGCACGTGACCACTATGCCACCTTCCTCCCTGAGGCCACTGGACTCCCATCCAGTTGCCTCATAGACCTAGAGTCCTGTATATCCGTGGGGGAATGAATGACCTAGGCATAGGGTGGTCCTAATTGTAAAATCTCAAACACATCTCCAACCGATACAGCAGGAATACAAATTGTCATACTCCTGACTCCATGAAAATGTTTTCACTGCCTAACTAGCCAAGTGGTCATAATCATAAGCATGACTCAACCGCGGAGTCGCGGGTTCGATTCACGGGTCAGCAGAAGTAAGTTTTACTGGGAAATGCCTCAGATAATCGAACTGATGAAAGGTGTCCTCAACCTCTAAACTTTGGTCCTTAAGAACTCTTTAGATTATAGCTTATTATGGGAGCACAGAGTTACTGGTAAATCCTACATAATACTTTAAAAACAATACCTTTCCTACAGTTGGGTAAAAAGAGGTTGCCATGTAAGTACTACTATCGTATTTTTATCGTATATTATCGTAAACCAACCTCTACTCTCATATTTTTTAGACTGCCTCTTACCTGTTATATTAAAATTAACTATTAAGAGTTATTCTGATAAAGCTGATCCTTTTAATCGATCTCTGTCTCGCCTTCCAGGCGTGGAAATTAGAACAGTTTTGTAGACGAGACCCATCATGAGACACATAGTCCTGTAGTATTGTCAACAATTGTTGATGACGTAGATTTTTTTTGTTTAAAAAATAACTTGCCCCACACTAGGATTTTCTCCTGTGTCGTGGGTGCGTTTGCAAACATACACATGACACCCAGACTCGAAACAATAATTTGTGGATTGCAAAAGTTTTTTCCTCAGAACCCACACACGCTGCACGGCTGCCGGTTGCCCAGTCACCACACCAACTGTGCATTGCTAGTTTTGTTTATTGAGTAGTCGAGTAAGAACTGCTTAGTCTGATGTATCGTGCGTAGGAATTTCAGGTTTCAGGTCCTTTCTGGAATTGCATCTTGTCTTATCTCTTTGGGGAATGTGTTAAAGTAGGTAGGTATGTATACACTTATCCTCACTCACGCCTTCGTCTCAAGGGGATAGGTAGAAGTACACATATTGTAATCTTTTTCTTATTAATGTTTTATTAAAATGAAACGACAAATTGGTATTTCGTATTTTTATTTTTTACATTTTACGTCGGTGACCGTAAACGAATTTTACTACAACGCTCCATCTTTCGATTTTAATTACACGTTAGAATGATACTAGAACATAAATATTTTTTCGTATTTTATTTAAGATCAAATAGATAATCTTTTTTACACCCTAATGTATAACGATATCATTTAATTTAATTTGTCATTATATTAAGCAAAATACAACAAATTAAATTACAAAAAATAAACCTTACAATTAATTATACTCTTTATCGGAGAGAACAATTATCTAAAAGCTAAAAATCATTGAATTACAATTTATAAATACTCGTAACAAAAATTGAAGGAACTGAACATTTTGAATTTTCACTAAAATTATTACAATCACATTTTATAACTAAAAATAAGTACTCCATGTCATACAATATATTATCTATTAATTCATTACGATATTACATTTGGCTCCTGATGTCACCTATGCTTAATGAGAACAGTGCTGAAAAGCTGAACGTAGTTTTAAGAACATGTCTAGTGGCGGAGATAGTTCGAGAATAAAACAGAAATTACTATACACGAAGTGTAATAGCGATAAAATAAACCATAGACCCACAATATATACAGATATAGGTAGACAATAAGACACACGAAACTTATTCCGTTTGAACTTTGTAAACATTCTCTTCATCATAACCATTTCCTCAATTGCAGGACGTACACATTAACAAATAACAAAAACTTAATTAATTACAAAAAAACTTCTCAATTATAACTTTAACAAAATCACTCTAATACTGCTGAATTTGTACGAATTAGGTAAATATTGAACGTAATCTATGGTCACAAGTCACAACACAAACTAAGTGAGGGATCTTTTCATAAATTAACGCCAACGCGGGCTCCTCATCAAATTATTTCCATACAACTTTTGGCACATGTATTTACGTTTCATACAGACAATTGTTTTATATTTATTCAATACATGACCTTACTATATTATCTACACGTGAATCCGTTATATTTAAATACAAAAGTGCGCGGTATTTGCGTTCTTCAATGTTGCCAGCGTAAACGGAATGAGAAAAAAGCAATATAAAATCTGTTAAAACTATTACAATATTTTAATCATATTTAATTGTTTAATATATAAAATCCCTGTAATGATAATATTGTTATTATGAAGTGACACTATGTGTAACTACTATGTGTAAGTATGTATGTAAGGTATGAGGATTCCATTGTTGCTGTACTGTTATGTGAAATGTACAATATTTTTTATAAAATAGAATCGTAAATAGTGTTCAGTCTTCTGTTGAGATTTCATGTTCCGTCGACTATAGTTAATTGAATGGATGAAAATATTGATAATTCCGTGTAAAACACGCGGGAACGATATAGTTGAAAGTAATCGAATTGTCATTGAACGTAAATACTGTTAGGTTTGTGTGTAGCGTTTTGAAACGACATAAACAGATATAGTTTCGTTATAAAACAAATAATATTTACAACAGGTAAAATGATGTACTCTAACTAACCACACGGTATCTCTAGTGATCACTGTATACAATTATCTAAAGCCAGATAGTATTGAACGTTCTATTTCTAACTTTCATTATTTACTAAAATCTTGAAAGCTCCTTTTTATTTGAACATTGAGTGCAGATACATTATTTGTCTAATCGTGGCGCGCACTGTCTTTTCTTTCATGGAAATTCTTCGATCGATTGTTGTAAAGTTCAGGGCTGACAATGATTATGTCGACGTTGAAATCTTAAGGTGGAAAACAATACCCTTTCTAGAGTCGGGTAAAAAAACACTGCAATAATCCAACTCGCTCCATTCATTGCTGAATCAACTGAGTTCAGGACAATAGTTGCAGGTCCCACCATCATCGTTTTCTTTTACATAAATAAATTTTGAATGAAATTAAATTTCACATATTGGACGTTTGTCCATATTTTGCGCCATTTAGTATCTAGGAAGTCTGTTGGATTTGTGACGTTGTGAGTATGGAACGCTACCTGCGAAGGTTTAGTTTAGGGTAGATTGTGTGTGACTAGTGCGTCGCGGCCCTCTGTGACGTCAGCGTCCCCTACCCGGCCCAGCTCACTGATTCACATCACTAACACTACAACAATTACAAATACACTACTATTTACCATTTTAGACACATATAAATGTCCACCTTATTTATTGGTTAATTCAAAAATTTATATCCCATTAATTTTTTATCAATAACTATTTACATTTAAAAATTGTTTATCATCGAATTATAACTATTATTACGAAATATTTTACAAACTTTGGTGAAATGCAGAAGTGAATTCGCACGTATAACGCATTATATCTACAAAGGTTCACTATGTATGAAGAAATCAATGCATTATACTTAATAAAAGTCGTTAGAAATTATAGTAGACTATCTAAAAATAGGGAATGTAACGGAATGTGTTAACAATAATGAAATTCGGAATGTCTTAACGATAACAATCACAACGCCTTTCATACTTATTGCACTCCTTCAAAATAAATTATCGCCTATCACTTAGAACGCGATACTATTATACATTTACAATATTAACACATCTTTTAATATAAATTTAACTAATTTATGCGGACGTCGCCGGACGCGATACCGGGGATTCACAAATACTTCCTAATACAAATTACTTTATCCGTAAAACTGAAACCTTTCTAGTGTATTCATAGTAAAATCCAATTTAGAATTGCATATTAAAACAACAGCAATAATAATACACGGCGTTCAGCTACCGTCAAGTTATTTAAGCGAGTTTTAGGTTCCAATCGAAATATTACACTATATGTGGCCGCCTCGCCAGATCTTATTGATTTCCTCGCGAGTGATACCTCTACAAAAGTAATAACAATAAACAATTGACGTCGTAGGAACATGAGAAACGTCAGTAAACCCATTGCTTACATTCCTACGACTTACACCAATTTTAAATAACGTGTCGCCTCGCCATTTGGCTGGTCGACATTAAAGATGTTAAAGTTTCACTATAGTACCACTAAGCACATTAACTTTGAGTTCTGTGGCTTGTGATCGACCACAAGATATAAAATTAATTTCTAAAACACGTACTTAAGATTCGTTACGAGACTTATTAATACACTAACTAAATTCCAGTTTTAGTCCGTCAACATGACAAGATACTAGAAGCGTGTCCCTGAGACGTCTAGCTGCTCGTAGATATACTCGACCGCTTGTCTGACAGTAACAGTTGAAGGTACAGTGCATATTGTAGACATGGTGTGCCGGACTTAGTCCTGGCCGTTGTGATGCAGCAGTGTGCGGTTGTCGGGTGGATGCGGCGGGTGCGAGGGCGCGCGGTACGACTCGCCCTCTTCGTCGGCGGAGTTCTCCTTCGACCTATCACTCTTACAGTCTTCCTCCTTCGTAACTCCTGACAGCGAGTCCAGAGCCATCGGCATCGATTGATATAGTTCCCTCGCCTTATCATTAGGCGGGAGTAGATGTAGCATGTTGAGTGGCATCGGGAAACCTGGAGCGAACTCCGGGTAGAACCCTTGCTGGAATGGATTGAACATTGGATTTGAGGCGATGTCTGGCTCGGAGCTCGCTGGTCGTTGTGAGTGGTCGTCTTTGTCGTGATGTTTTCCCGAAGGCTGGTTGTTGTTGTTGTTTCCGGAGTTAAGATTTAATACGTCGAGGGGGCCGCCAATACAGTCTTTCCTGAGCTGCTCCAACTTTAGGCTTTTCCCGTATTTCCCGCGCACGTACATTAGCAGCGAGTTGTATGGGATGCCAAAGATCCTTGAGGCCTGGCTGGTCGTCATCTTCTTGTTCCACACGTGCTGCAGCGCCTCCGTCAGCTCGGCGTTCGTCCACGATCGAGGTGGACCACCGCGCGGCGCGCTGTGTTGACCCTTTGGTCGCCCTGAGGAATACAGATTAAATTATTAATTTAGCGAGTTGAGGTTTCATGTCAACGAAACAGAAATGTTAAGCTAACTAATTACATAAGGAAACAACCGCGAGCGCGGAGTTGTGTGATTTACGAGCGGCGAAGTGCAGGCTCCGCGGCACGACATGTGCCGTGTGCCGCGCCACCGCGACGGCATTACGCGAGTGCACCATTATCTAATAACCATGTTTCGGCTGAGCAATAACTGTGTACGGAGCGAGCGAGCGAAATGAGCGGGTTGCGGCGACATTTTGTTGGCGGCGATTTGTCATTAATTCGATGCGAGCACGCGACTATTACGGCGGTTTGTCAAAAAGAAACGCGGACATGCATACGCCGGCGACGTCGCCCCTAACTTTATAGTTTTATAATTTCAACGGAGCACGTTAACTCGATTCCGATCAGATAATTCGAGGAACATTTCGGAACGTCGGAGAACTGATATTTTATTATGGAAATTAGTTTTTCTTTTAATAGTCGTGGGGGTCACGCGAGCTTTGGAAATTAAAAAGGATGTTTTCTATTTGTAGCTCGTTAGCAGGGGAGCAGTAGCTCCGGTACACGTGTGCCTGTCTCGAGTCTCGAGCGCGGAGCGATGCGATGGGCGCTAATCGATCGGCGACTATTGTACAGCGGCGACGGCGACCAGCCACACAGCGTATTCAAAGCATACGTTAGAGTCGGCGTCTGTTCCCCTATGAGATACGCTATCAGATCGTCTTAATAAACATTTGCTCAAAAACAATGAGCGTTTAACATTCGCGCGGCGAGATTGCGGGACCACTCGATGTGTGATGGGGACGAGGATGCAGCTCGTGCATTATTGCGCTTCGATCCTTTGTTGTGGCACGGCACGCGTCTATTTGTGATGCCAGTGTATGAGCCCCATTGTTCATAGATAACTTGAATACGTATGTGAGTCTTTTGAAGAATATTTGCTAGGAGGTATTGTTGGGGCGTAATACAGATACCGACCGTTTGTTATTATTGAAATTGATATCGAATTGAATGGTTTAAGTAGCGAACGATTTGCACGGTGTGTGTTAGCTTTGAACTTTGGCGAAGAGGCAAAACAAGAAGTTTGGGGAACGAAGAAGAATATCAAATATTGGTTAATAACTTACATTTCTTTTTCACGTTAGTGAATAGTTGTGAATCAAGCGGCGCGCGGTGTTCTACGTCCATCATGGGGTACATCTTGTGCTCCATCCCTGGCGGGAAAAGTCCCAGCGGAGTGTCCATGCCAAACACTGTAACAACACATAGCACTTCATTAAAAACATACTCTAGAGAAGCACTTTGATTTACACTAGGTGTGTAGTGGAATTGTAATCAATACACATTGGTACTAGACGTAACACCCGATAGTCGAGCGACTGTAACGTGTTGCATTTTAAATGCATCAATATCACCCTACCTTCCTCTCACTTCAAATAAAAATGCTACAACAAAATCTGAAGTATCAAATGGATACTTTTAATTAACACTCTATTTCTATATTTGCTTTGTACCTTTTAAATTTTTCAATAACGAAAATGTCAAAAGATTTATCAACACCTATTACAATAATAAATTGTTCAGTACGTACGCAAGTGAAAGCAGTGACCCATAAATATTAAAAGGCATTTATTAAATTTACACTTTCGTGTCCTTATCTGAAATTGGCTTCGAGTAAAGCCTAGGAACTTTACGGAATTAAAAATAAGTTTAGTGTAACACTGTTTACATAAAAGCGGGTCAGTAAAATTAACCTTGAAATATTTCAAGTAGTATACGTGTAATCAATATGATTAATCTAGTACTAAATTGAACCTAACATAGATGCAATACAAATGAAGTTAAATGCAAAATTCAGTAAAAGCCGCGACGAATAGTCCAGCTACTCGACGCTAGATGGCGTTAGTTGTATGCGGCGGGCCGTGCGTTTCACATTTGAATTCGAATGTATAACATTGAACGCATTTAAATCACATTTTGTTATTAGTGTTAAGTTTACAATTAACTTTTTGATTGGGATATAAAATTAAGAATTACTTGTAGATTCAGTTTAGTATTATACCTGTAAGTGCTGTCCTCTACAATTTACAGAGTCCCTACATCGAAACAAGATTAATTTGCAACAGGCACTTCAACAGTATTAACACCTAGCAGACGCAATAATTTTCTCTAGTAATTAGTGTAAACTCAACATAAATTTTAATTGGAATGAATTGAACATTATTAATAAATATCTCAATGTAGAAATCCATGTTCAATTACAATTATTTCATCGCGTTTGAAGGGCTGGAGGTGAAGTGGCCGGTAACAAGACTGCGAGATGTAAATAACATCTCGCTTAGTGTCGTTGCCCGCTAATCGAATGCGACAAATCGATCGCCTTCGCTGCTTTATTGCGAACCTTTTGTTCTGTAGTGTTTTGCGCTTATATGCGCCTAGTACTTTTTTTATTTACTGATGTAATTTTGTTTCATTTCTTTTTTTTTGTTAAAATACGTATGCGTTATTAACCAATTTTAGTACTTGCCGAGGACTTGACGTGTGACTGATATGATCGTGATGATCACGACTGATAGATTATATTTAAGTGAGGAATAAGAATAAAATTTGTTTTGTTTTTCAATAGTTTAGAACAAATTTAGACCTTCAAATTGTCTATCGATTAAAATTTAAACTCGCGAGGAATACCTAGGTAGATAAAGATACAAAGAACTTAAAAGGAAAAGATGGCAGAATAATAATCAAACATTGTACAAAGATAAGTTAGAGTGGAAATGAAAAATTTCATTTGCCCATTCCTCTGTATTCAGATGAGATGCGATTCAAGGAGTTGCAACGTATTGTGCGACGAATCGATACCGTTGGGCGCTTTACACCGAGACACCTCCAACTTATATAGATCTATGTATCTTTACTGTAGATCCAAGATACGCTGGGCTTTTATTATGTACGACTATCGTCTTTCTGAACTACTGTTGAAAACACAGGTATTAATGCTAGATCAGATTGCCGTATGTGACCGTTAAAATAGCAACGACCACGTATATATTCATAATAGGTTTTATTCAACACACAGTTTGCATTAGTTGACACCGCAACTAGTGTCAAAGGCGTTATTGTCAATAAAAACTAACTATATTTAACTAAACTGTACTTGTATTGATACTGAATATAAAGCATATTTTATGTACAATTTCTATCTGACATTTACTCATATGGAAATCCAATCAAGTCAGTGAAGCTTTTGCTTATAAAGGCAACTTTCTTCACAGTTAGATGTAACTGTTCATTTATGCTATAATCCCATGTTATCTCCTACATTACTACACTAAACGTCGGTACGTCTAATTAGGTAAACTACAGATAGGTATATTACCGACGATATGTGTGCACACAGACTGCACTTTTATTACCCACTATAACGTGTACGGTCCGGTATCGCAGGAACGAATAAAGCTTAATAAAATGTAGCTATATTAAATTAACTTCAACATAAATTCTCTTTTCGATTTCGTATAAAGTTATGGTGTGTTCGATTAATTAAATTTCCGCACGCAGTGTCTTTGTAACGTCGGCTTAAACTTTTACTGCTGACGGTCCTGACGAACCGTTAATACACGTCACTAGTTAGAGCAGCCAGTCCTGGACTCGTTATTTTGCATAATTACCGACAATCAATAAGCCCACATTCGAATCGGTTCGAAGACTTAAAAATAAATGTTTGAGTGCATGCGTTGCTCTCGAAACTTGGTTCACTTGATCATTGGGTATCGCCTGGTTTATTGTTAGTTAATTGCGGTTTTATGTAGTTGTGATAATTGGATAAATTGTTTGTTCTGGAGGTCGAAAGAGAATGAATAACTGATCTTAGACAAACAGGAAAATTTTGTGCTTCTGTATTTTTTTTACGAATTTGGACTATTTTCCTTTTTGTAAAGAGTATTTTTTACCTTGTACATTATACTGTCTCGCTACTTAGACTTGAATGTGTTCTCCATCTTGGAATTTGGTTCAAACATAAGAATCTGTGCCGTAGTTAATGATATGCCTAACATGGCACGCTCCATAGCCCTTTTAAACTTATCTCCTTAATCTCAGATTTAAACGTAGATAGTTAAACGGTGGTTACAAAATATTTAAACGTTAGATTTATGTTTTCTGTAAAGTAACCGTAACGTAGTAGGTTTTAAATTTTGCGATGTTTGAACTGTAATTATATGAATATAACTGTGAATGGTGTTTAATAATTTAATGGCGAGATCTTAATAAAATTTGATAAACCTAGATTAAAGTGTTATAAGTGTATTATAGATTTATAATAATTGGCATTTTTAATATAAATCATGAAAAAAAACATGGACGCAGTGACTAATAAACTACCGGTAGTGTTAATGATCATTAATATTGTTATTTTACGACGCAGGTACAGCACTACAAGGTTACTGTTGGGAAATATGGACAGTTTCATGTTTTTTTTCGTGATATACTATTGCGAAGGCATCCATTGTTATTTGCTGAACATATTTTTAGATAAATATGATATCATGATCTGTTTCCCAAGACACGAGGAAAGAAACTCTCGTTCAGTGTTTTCCGCGATTTAGTTTCTCCAATTCACCGTTGTAACGGACGAACTAAGAATTATTTTGACATAATTTGGAAAATTCTCATTAAAACTAGAAACGTATTTCAGATTACAATGCTTTCACATTTAATACAGTTCTAAATCTTCGAATTGGAATTACTAAGTAAAATATCGATTCAGACGAGTGAGTTACCGCGAAAGCTGACAGGTTACCAAGTAATTTAACGTCAGATTTAAAAAACGAATTTGACGAAAATAGCTGTTGTATCTAGTTGTCTATTTATTTTCGGCCAGCATTGTGAAATTGAGTTATTATATGATTATGACGTCCGTGAAAATAAACTTCCTTTTTGTAGGCGACGTATAACAGGCAGTGCCATTTTCAGTATTATTATATTACGTCACAATTTCTAGCAGAATCGCGTAAACCTTGCGGTCAATTAGTCGTAGCGCAGTCGGCGCGCTTGACGCTTTCTAATTCCGGTCTCTCGGACCCCTTCAGAGAACTATTCGACCATAAACAATGATTTACGAAACATACCCGATAACCAGACGTGGTCGCAATACGTTAGCACGACTACGACGATTCGATCCGACATTTTTATCACAATTTTCACAACTTGATTTTGACAGAGTTTTCGCAATGCATTCTGTGTCTAACGTCCAACTAAGTTTGGCCGACTTCATTAATCTGATTTAACGAAATACCGACTGAACTTATCCCACAACAAAGTTTACGATCGATCACAACTCGCCCCATATGCAACACGCGTCGAAATCGAAAGCGTTCACAAACTTAGTTCGCAACTCGGCTCAACCCTTTCGCGGCCATGTGTACACAACTTGTCAAACTTCACCCCGTTCATTCAGACAAAAGTTGACGCACCCTCTCTCTCGCGCGTGGGTCACGCACGTGTGTTGTTTCGTCTGTCTCGTCACACATGCGTGCGTTTTCCCTAAACTCCGGCGGGATGGAAAAGGCCCTGCTTTGCGTTCGGAGGGTTTGTGCGAGGGTGTTTTGCGATGAGGTCGGGTTATACGCGCATGCAGCCACGTGACGTGATGTTTACGATTCGGGAAGGGTCCCATTCACGCGGAGCACACACGGGCAGCGCGGGGGAGGGCGGGGGAGGGCGCTGCTGACGTATCGAGGTGTGTGTGGGAGTCTCCGCGTGTTGTCTACGGTCAGGCAGGCGCGCGTGCTCGCCGTTTATTTTGCAACGAGATTTACAACTATAACTGTAAATTAACTTTATCGAGCGGGCCCGAATCTAGGTCGTATGGAATCAGCATTAATTATCGCTTTAATCTAATACCGATGTCGACTGTACGTACAATAGATCACATGATAGATAGCCGCTCACGCCAAGGATACGAAAGCAATAATAACGCGGGACGAGAAACGCCATAACTATTATAGAACATGCCGCAACTGGGTTAATCTATTGTTTCAGTGAAATATACGTTGTAATCGATGTGAGGAACAATTAAAGTAGAAAGAAGTCTAGGTCGATGATGATGGGCCGCGTCTCCTTGCATTGTTCGAGAAGATCGCGTGTCCAATATAAGTCCCCATTACATAAATAATATGGGGTGTAAATACCGGCGAATGCTCATAAAAGCAAGTTAATATTTATAAGACTGGTAGACCTTGGGTGCCGTTTGATT